AACTACTTTAATTCTTTCCTTAAATACTTCAATTCCTTCCTAAAAACACTTTTTTTTTTTTTTTTTTTTGAGATGCATGCTCGCTCTGCCACCCAGTCTGGAGCGCAGTGGTGCGACCTTGGTTCACTGCAACCTCTGCCTCCTAGGTGCAAGCAATTCTCCCGTCTCAGCCTCCCAGGTAGCTTGGATCACACACCTGGCTAATTTTTGTATTTTTAGTAGAGACAGGGTTTCACCATGTTGACCCCAGGCTGGTCTCGAACTCCTGACCTCAGGTGATCTGCCTGCCTCGGCCTCCCAAAGTGCTGGGATTACAGGCCTGAGCCACCCTGCCTGGCCTGTAAAAACTCTTCTTAGCAAAAAGGAAAGAAAGGTCAAACTTCTGCTAAAGATAGCAGAATTTATTTCAAAGAGAGTTCATTCATTTTCTGGGTGGAGTACTTCAGGGCAGAAAAAAATAAATCAGAAAAGAACACACACGTACACACAAAACCACACACCCACACCCACACACCCACCCATCCTGGGAAAAGGAGCAAGGGCCTTCGAGAGCAAAGCAGGAGGAACGGAAAGGAAGGAGGGAGGGTGAGGCGGGGGGCGGGGGCAGGGGCAGCTGATCAGGGAGGCCCCCCAGGAAAAAGCCGCTCCCAAGCCACTCCCGACTCCTGGGAATGAGGGGCTCTGGGCGAGCCCGGCCTACACCAAGGCAGCCACTCTACGGCCAATGAGGACTGGCGAGGCGAATGCACACCAAATTAGGAAGGCAGGCACCGCGGGGGCGGGGCGGCACCGGGAGGGGACAGCCTTGCAGGCAGCCAGCTCTCCAGGCCTGGCCCCGCTCCCACCCCCGGATCTGTTAGGGAGCCAGCCAGAGAGGAGAGTGGGGAGGGGGCAGGGAAGGGCAGGGAGTGTTTGTAAACACGCCGGCTCCACCCTACAGCAGAAACTCAAACTGAAAAGTATCTTGGCAGGCAAAACCTCAAGGGCCTCTGAGGTTTCTAAACACTCAATTGAATTCCACGGTGCTAAGATAAACGGATGTAAACAGAGAGGCTTTTATTGTAACAATGGAAGGCCAAAAAGCCAGACAGCCAGTCCCTAACTTACTACTTTCTCCGCACAGAATTCCCCCTAACAGGAATCCGGTCTTTGCACAGGGCGGTTTCAAAGAACAGGACTGGGCGGAAGGAGGGGAACGGGGTGGCCCCCCACCTTCCCGGCTCCCGCAGCAAGATCAGGGCGGGTGCAGGCCCAGGGAGCTGCTCGCATCGCCCATGGGGACTGGCGGTCACAGGAGGCCGCCACCCAGCTTCTCAGAACAGCTCCAGCCGCAAGAGCTTCAGGTGCTCAGTACGAAATTTCTTCACTCCCAGCTATAAAAAAGAACGAAATCTTGGCCTGGGCAGCAACGCGAGGGAGCTGGAGGCCCTTGTCCCAAGTGAACTCAATCAGAAACAATACCGCACAGCGCCTGTTCTTGCTTATAAGCAGGGGCTGAATGCTGGGTACCCAGGAAGAGGAAGATGGAAACAAGAAACTGGGACTCCAAAGCAGGGAGGCGGGAGAGGGCGAGGGGTGAAAGATGACCTAGGGGGTACGCATTCACCCTTTGGGTAATAGGCACCCTAGAAGCCCAATCCCCAACAGTATGTAATATACCCATGTCACAAACATGCATATGTACCCCCTGAAGCTAAGATAAAATAAACAGTATTTTCTCTGCCCTAGTTTAAAAAACAGGTATCGCTTATTAACTCCTTTGCAAACCACGACCTCTCTTGTCATACAAATGCGACTTTAATGTGCAAATTTGGATTAACACTGGGAAATAGTTTTATTTTTTTAAGCCCCCTCCCGGAGCAAACCAAAACATTTTTCTTTCTTTCAATATGGTGAAACTCCGTCTCCACTAAAAATACAAAAAAAAATTAGCTGGGCTTGGTGGCGTGTGCCTGTAATCCCACCTACTCTCGAGGCTGAGGCAGGGGAATTGCTTGAACCAGGGAGGTGGAGGTTGCAGTGAGCCGAGATCACACCACTGCACTCCAGCCTAGGTGACAGAGCCTAGGTGACAGAGCAAGACTCTGTCTCAAAAAATAAAATAAAAATAAAATAAAATAAAGCTTCTCTTTAGCTGGATTACAACCTGCTGATTAATAACCCACTGCCAGGCTAAGGCAGGGGCGCTGGCCTAGCGCTTCCCCAGGAGCCCCGGATCGCTGCCTGGCCTGCTTCTCTCTGGACCTGAGGCCTTTGCTGCCCACCCCAAAAGCAGCAGGAGCAGCCTCTTCTGGGGTGAGCTCCCAGCAGCACATGAGCTGGTCTTGGCCACCGTTTCTACAGTGCCTTTAAGGTGGTATTAGGTAAAGACTTAAGGATATATGCGGTGCTCAACTGCTTCCTTCAGATACAATTCCCGTAACATTCAATTCACCATTTATTCATTTACTTAGAGATGGAGTCTCGCTCTGTCGCCCAGGCTGGAGGGCAGTCGTGCAATCTCAGCTCACTGCAACCTCTGCCTCCTGGGTTCAAGCCATTCTCCTGCCTCTGCCTCCCAAGTAGCTGGGATTACAGGTGTGTGGCACCATGCCCAGCTGATTTTTGTATTTGTAGTAGAGACGGGGTTTCACCATGTTGCTCAGGCTGGTCTCGAACTCCTGGCCTCAAGTGATCTGCCCGCCTTGGCCTCCCACAGTGCTGGGATTACAGGTGTGAGCCACCGCGCCCAGTCAAGTCACCCTTTAAAGTGACTTTTAGGATATTCACAAAATTGAATAACTATCATCACTGTCTACTTCCAGAACATTCTCTCATAAAGCTGTATGAACTAAACAAAATACTGCATGTGCACTGCTCAGCACAGGGCCAGGCGGGCACACACCAGGCTTTCAGTCACTTAGGATTCACCATCATCATCATCCCAGAGGGTCATGACGTCACAGCACTGGCTCCGCAGGCGGGAACCAGGCCCAGGAAGGTGGGGGCTGAAGTGACCGCAAAGAGTCACACACGCGACCATGCCCGGCCTGAGCCCAGGGCCTCGCCTTTCCGCAGCAGCACTGTCCCTGAACTTCTCTCTCCACGAGAGACTCGCCCACCCACTGGCTCTGGAAAAAAGGAGGCCGACTCCAGGCAACTCAAATGGAGATGATTCCCACCTTGTAACTTGTAGGAGGCCACTGGTAACTTGTCAGCAAAGCAGGGTAGAGGAGCTGTGCCCCTGATGGCTCTGTTCCAAGAGAAGCCAGTGTGTAATTTTAACTGTGGACCCTGAAAAGGTGCAGGCCACGTATGGGCTGGTTGTGTTGACTCACACCTGTAACCCCAGCACTTTGGGAGGTGGAGGAGGGAGGATCTCTTGAGCCCAGGGGTTCCAGACAGCTTGGGCAACGTAGCAAGACCCTGTCTGTACAAAAGATAAGAAAATTAGCTGGGTGTGGTGGTGCATGCCTGTGCTCCCAGCGACTTGGGAGGCTGAGGTGGAGGGATCGCTTGAGCTCAGGAGCTGGAGGCTGCAGCAAACTATGATTGCGCCACTGCACTCCAGCCTGGGAGACAGAGTGAGACGCTGTCTCTGAAAAACAAACAACAGCCCTCTCTTCTCCTACAGCTGCAAGGGGAAAAAAAGAAAAAAGAAAGCAAAGGTACAGCTGGGGCTCAGCAGAGTGCGCAGGTCAGCAGGGAGGGACTGACGTGGCTGGCCCAGGATTGCCACGGCACTCGCTCCAACAGACCAGCATGCCCAGAATGTGCCTCACAGATGTCCCCGAGGGCCCCTGAGCCCCTTTCAGGGTATAGGTAAGGTCAACACCATGTTCACAACAGTCCTAAGATTCGATCTGCTTTTTCCACTGGGCTGACCTTTGCTGGTGACGCACAAGCGATGCGGAAACTGCTGGTGCTGCGGAGGAGTCACAGCTCCGGCACCAAACTGTGCGCGGCCACACGTCTTCAGGGCCACAGAGGTACAGTTGGGAGAGAGAAAAGCCAGCCATGTTTAGGAAATGTCCGCGATGAAGAGGTAAATCATTAAAGAACGTATGAACCCTCCAGCCTCAAGCACACGTCTGTTTTTGCATCCTTGTATGACAGGACCAGGGCCAGGGCTGTGTGCCACGCATCCTGGCTGCCGCCTGAGGTTCGTGTGTAACTCAGTCCAGGGCTCACTGGCACTCCCTACACAGAGCTCTGTTTACACTTTTCACCCTGCAACCCCTACTCAGGAGTTTATCATTGTATAACACACCAGAGATGAGGAAGTTTGAAGAACTTCTTCAAAATCTAGATTAATTTCTAAAAGGTCATAGAGAATTTTCACAAATGAAGCTTCAAGAAACAAAGTTCACCAAATCCTGGTAGACAAATATTACTTTAAAACATTTTCAGCCAGGCGCGGTGGCTCACGCCTGTAATCCCAGCACTTTGGGAGGCCAAGGCAGGCAGATCATTTGAGGTCGGGAGTTCAAGACTAGCATGGCCAACATCGTGAAACCCTGTCTCTACTAAAAATACAAAAAAATTAGCCAGGCGTGGTAGCAGGCACCTGTCATCCCAGCTACTTGGGAGGCTGGGGCAGGAGAATGGCTTGAACCTGGGAGGTGGAGGTTGCAGTGAGCCGAGATCGCGCCACTGCACTCCAGCCTGGGTGACAGAGCGAAAACTGTCTCAAAACAAACAAACAAAAACACCATTTCTAATGTCCTTTAAAAAAAACAAAACAAACAAAAGACAACAAAAAAAACCTGTGCTTGCTTTAACAAGCCCTAATTTGTAAAACTTCCAGTGGGAAAAGTGATGACCAGGCAGTGATTCTTCCCTTTGTAAGAGAATTCACAGAGATTTCAGCCAGGTCCCAGATGCACATACACCACTTTCTGTGTTTCCATACACGTGCAATTTTCCAGAGAGATTTGGACCCCAGTGCTGCATGCGACAGGCATGCTCGCACCATCTCCCTCTCTCCTGGGGGCCCAAGGGCAGGCTGGGGGGCTGCTTACCTGATGGTGCCAGTCGGGGAGGGGACGGGGCTGACCATGCTCCGGAGGTCCGGCTCCGGGATGTGGATCTTCAGAGGGGAGATCTGTGGGTACAGCGGCCGGAGCGGGGAGGCCGGGGCCTCTTCTTTGTGGTAGAGCGACGTGAACTGGATCTTGATGGCTGTGCTGGGAAACCGGAAGGTACACCTGCAACGGGAGGAGGAGCAGGTGTGAGGTGCAGGAGGAGACTCCAGAAGACGCCAACATCCAGGGAAGGTGCATGTCCATGTGTCAACGTAACCAGACCCTAACTCTCAAACCTGGGCCCCAGAGAGCAGTTTCGATGCTTTTATGAAGACATTTAGGAACTGAGACTTAGGCTTATTTCGACGTCGGTTGTCTTTCTATTTTTTATTTTATTTTATTTTATTTTTTGAGAGGGAGTCTTGCTCTGTCACCCAGGCTGGAGTGCAGTGGCGTGATCTCAGCTCACTGCAACCTCGGTCTCCCAGGTTCAAGCAATTCTCCTGTCTCAGCCTCCTGAGTAGCTGGGATTATGAGCACCCGCCACCACGCCTGGCTAAGTTTTTGCATTTTTAGTAGAGACGGGGTTTCACCATGTTGGTCAGGCTGGTCTTGAACTCCTGACCTCAGGTGATCCGCCTGCCTCGGCCTCCCAAAGTGCTGGGATTACAGGCAAGAGCCACTGTGCCCGGCCGTCAGTTGTCTTTCACTGTGCGTGAGACAGAAGAGATATAAATATCCCCAGACAAGTGCCACTCATGCCATCTCCCACGCAGGCTCCAGACAGACACGGCTACTTCCTGTCTGCCAGGGCAACTGCCGTGGCACCCAGGTGGGATCTGCCACCTCTCAAAGGAGATAGTGGAAGACTGAAACAGCACGGCAGCCACCTATGCAGACATTTTCAAGATGATTCTCTGCCACTGCCTAGAAGATCTGACAGCAGGAGCAATTCCAACCCTGCTCGGGCAGGCGGGAGTCGCAGAGAGCGTGCATTATCCACCCAGAGCTTAACGGACCGGCTTCACCATCAGTTCCGGGCTTAAAACCATGAGCCTCGGTTTTTCTACTGGAGACAACCAAATGCAAACAAAGCCAGCCGCAAGCCTCAGAGTCAACACCGGGGTGCCGTGAACAGCATCCAAGGTTCACCTGGCTTGAAGAAACTGCCACCGTTTACAAAGCTGAGCATTACTGATCTGGCTGCCCTTTCAATTTCTAAACTGATGAGGCAGCAACTATCAACTTGCTAACTGCAGGACTCAGTTAAAAACAAAACAAAACAAAAACAAAAACAAAAGCAATGTAAAGCAGCAGCCTGCCCACACGGAGATAACGGCCGCCTGCGCAGCTGTTTGGAAAAGGCTCTCCTTTAAAAATGTGGGAGGGGGGTTAGAAAGAATGTAGAGAAGCCACTGGTGATAATGCACTTTTCAGAGTTCCAGAAGGCATTCAGAACAGGCGAAGTGACTCAACACTTGAGAGACGCTAAGGTCTCTTGTAGTGGAACCTGCATGAAGTCTCCAAGCACCAGACTGCTGGGTCTATGCCTGACTACATCTGCGGCAGTGTTTAAACAGTAAATCTACCTAAAACCTTGCCTGGACGTGCGCAAACACCCCTCTTTCATTTGAAAGCCCCTTTGCTCTTCGTCAAAGCGTTTTTGAAAGATAGGACTGAGGACCGGGTCAGAGGGTGACGAAGGGTGCCTGGCTGTCGGCAGGGGGTCCTCTTGCGTCAGTCTTCTTCCCAGGGACCCGCTTCAAAGGAAGTGACTCAGCATTACAAATGTGCAGCTCCTCCCATAGCTCTGCTAGCCAGGCTGCCCACATCGAAGAGAGAAAATCAGGCACTTAAACTGGCTCAACTGGGCCAGTCCTGATTCTCCCCGAGATACTGGGCAGAGAAGGCTGGGCCTCCCCAAGGAGGCCGGACCGCATCGTTCAGCACCAGGCACCATCGGGCCTGTGGGCACCAGGTTTCTATTTCCAAACACAAAGGGGACTCTGAGACTGTTTCCAGGATGAGATGCTGTCTGGGAGGCATGGCCCAGCGAGTGAATCTTGGGGGATAAGGGTGGGTGGTCAGGCACCCCCAAGGTTCAGAAGGGCAGCCCGAGGCCATTTGAAAATACTCCACAATTTTGTCCTCTTAAGTCACATTGAGAGGAACGTCTGATGTCCTTTACACTTTCTTCAGTCCAGCCCAATGGAGATTTCCTGCATCAGTATTTTGACTAGAAAGGTCCATCACCCATTTTCTTTCTTTTTTCTCTCTTTTTTTTGAAGACAGAGTCTTGCTCTGTCATCTAGGCTGGAATACAATGGCGCAATCTCGGCTCACTGCAACCTCCACCTCCTGGGTTCAAGGAATTCTCCTGTCTCAGCCTCCCGAGTAGGATTATAGGCCCGTGCCACCACGCCCGGCTAATTTTGTATTTTTAGTAGAGACAGGGTTTCACCATGTTGGCCAGGCTGATTTCGAACTCCTGACCTCATATGACCCACCCATCTCGGCTTCCCAAAGTGCTGGGATTATAGGCATGAGCCACCATGCCTGGCCGCATCACCCATTTTCTTTTTTTTGTTTTTCTTTTTGAGGCGGAGTTTGATTCTTGTTGCCCAGACTGCAGTGCAATGGCGCAATCTCAGCTCACCGCAACCTCCGCCTCCTGGATTCAATCGATTCTCCTGCCTCAGCCTCCCAAGTAGCTAGGACTACAGGTATGCGCCACCACGCCCGGCTAATTTTGTATTTTTAGTAGAGGCAGGGTTTCTCCATGTTGGTTAGGCTTGTCTGGAAGTCCCGACCTCAGGTGATCCTCCTACCCTGGCCTCCTAAAATGCTGGGATTACAGGCGTGAGCCACCCTGCCTGGCCTCGCATCACCCATTTTCTAAGATGCCCTATGAAGCCCAAGGGCTCTTCAGTTCTGGGGGCTGTTAGTTTTTGTGGGTCCCAGAGCCGCTGTCTACCCAAGCTGGTGTCTGAGGATGGGCCGGGTGTCCCTGACCCAGGGAAGCAAGGAAAGAGTTTTGAGGCCAGCATCTGGCTGAGGGTCCAGGCAGGGGAGCTAAGGTGAGCTCCACCTGTGAACGACAGTGCTGAATGAACAGTGTCTGTGTGTGTATCTACATGTGCACACACACACACATGCATACACGCACACACGCATGCACGCACATACGGACGTCCACGCACACACACATGCATGCACACAAGCATGCATGCACACACGGACGTGCACGCACACACACATGCACGCACATATGCACATGCACACACACACGCACATGCACGCACACGTGTACATGCACACACACACGCACACATGCAGATACACACACAGACGTACCCCTGTTCCACCAGCACTGGACACGATGGCAGTCATGATGCCAAATGTTTAAAGATAGTTTCTATGGCCCTTGCCATTTGTCTCTTTTTTCCAATTCCCTCAATTCCCTGAACCACTGCAAATCAATGAAACAAAGCATGTTCTCCGACTTGTCAGAAGGGCACAGTTGAGACCTCTGACTTTGTGTCATGAAAGTCCCTATGTTAATATGGGATCGGATCACGCTGGAGCTATCAAGGCCAAAGAGAAAGAAGATGTGGCTTCCGGCCCATGACTGAGGTCACAAGAAGAAGGGGATCCTGGAGATCGGGGTTTGGATACGAAGACATGAAGAGTGCTCGCTTTGGCAGCACATGTACTAAAAACTGGAAGACATGAAGAAGTGCTTTTTGGTAAGACATTTGCACATGCACATGCGCAAACACACCACACATGCATGCACACACGCACAGAGGAGCTGGGTCCCCCTCTGGACTGGGACCTGAAAGCCAGCTACAAGCAGAGCCCATCTGACCTTGGGCTAAATCACTCCCCAACTCCGGGGGGTGGAAAGGCCTTTCCAGGCTTCACTTCTCCCCTTCAAAGAGCAAACTGTGGCAGGAATGAGAGGTGTAAGGTGTGGGGATTTGTGACAACGGTGAACGCCACCAAAAGACAAAACTGGTTTAGAACCACTCGACCTAACCTCTCTGTGCTTCCGTGATCTTTGCTAATAAAACAGAATGGTTGGAATAGAAGACACCATCTCTAAGGTGCTTTCCAGTTCAAAAAACTGATTCTAGGCTGGGCGTGGTGGCTCATGCCTGTAATCCCAGCACTTTTGAGTGGCCCACGTGGGCGGATCACCTGAGGTCAGGAGTTTGAGACCAGCCTGGCCAAAATGGCAAAACCCCCCCGCTACTAAAAATACAAAAAATTCACCAGGCACGGTGGCACACATATGTAATCCCAGCTACTCGGGAGGCTGAGGCAGGAGAAACGCTTGAACCCAGGAGACGGCCATGTCAGTGAGCCGAGAACGTGCCAGTGCACTCCAGCCTGGGAAACAGAGCAAGACTATCTTAAAAAAAAAAAAAACTGATTCTAGATGATATGTATATATATTGAGTTTTCAGTAAAACAAAACGATGTCTTATAGGACAGGCAGGGATCTAATCCCATCTATAGATGACAGACAATTTCCTACTGTAATAGTAGTTTTCCAATTAAAGTTTAACAATAAATATTTTCATAGACTCTGCCGTAACAGTGATTGTACTGAGGCAGGCGGCCTCGTTACTAGGAGGTGGAGAAAATGCTATGAAGCATGCTACTTTATTTTAGTTTATTTATTTTTTGAAACGGAGTCTTGCTCTGTCGCTCAGGCTGGAGTGCAGTGGTGCGATCTCAGCTCACTGCAACCTCTACCTCCCGCGTTCAAGGGATTCTCCTGCCTCAGTCTCCTGGGTAGCTGGGATTACAGGCGTGCGCCACCATATCCGGCTAATTTTTGTATTTTTGGTAGAGATGGGGTTTCACCATGTTGGCCGGGCTGGTCTTGAACTCCTGACCTTAAGAGATCCACCTGCTTCAGCCTCCCAAAGTGCTAGGACTACAGGTGTGAGCCACCGCACCCAGTTTGATTTTTAAATGGATGTTTCCCCAGCGTGCTCACGGAGTTTGCCAGTTACATCTCTCCCTGTAATATCTTGATAGAGGTGCAGGGCTCTAGCTGGAGTTTCAAAGCACACATTTTGCATCGTGACGGTGCTGCATGGTGCTTTAAACCCAGCCACACACACTGCCGGTCTTGACTGGTGGAGATTCTGCCAAGGTTAAGTGTGCCCACA